CTGTGGGATGGGCTAACCTCAGTTTCATTTATTCATTCACTTACTTGACAAGCGTTTCTTGGATGGCTACTGCGGCCTGTCACTGATCTCAGAGCTGGGATAGTTCAAGCGACATGAAGGTCAGTGCCCAGGGAGTTGCCACCTGAGAGCAGGGCTTCTCAAAGCATCAGGGGAAAGGACCAGTTTTTTAGATTTCCGACATCTTGTGGACTGATAATTTTTGTGAAATACAATAAAAATAAATGACCAGGAAAATAAAATTTTAAAAATTACCAAAATACAAACCCCCTATTTTTATTACAGTTTTAACAGGCATAAAATTACATTTTAGTATAGATAATTACAATAAGCATGATGGGAAAGATAATTACAAAAACTATATATTCATTGAAAATGCATATAAAGGCAGTTAATATAGAAGATCAGTATTAATACTGGTAACTTCACTTTTAATGTAGTAAAGAGTTAATGAAGTTAATCTAGGCTGGATACAACAATGCTACTTGTGGGAAATGATGTATATAAACTATTCATGTGTTTTGTTTTAATTATACTGGAGAAGCCAGGTATATTAACAGAACTGGAAAATTATTTTTTTTAACCCATTTCGGCAAACTTGGGCTATTAATTTTTGAACTTTCACCTAAAATGAAGCAAATATTGTTGCATTGTAAAATTTATTTTCAGTCCTTCCATAGTTACCAGTTTGAACAATTTATCTCATAAAACTATAGTTATACTAAATTATATTTTAGTGAAATCAGTGAAGTCTAGATTTTTATATACTTTCAGGTTACAGTCAGAAAACTAACCTTGAATATCATGCATTTTAGCATGGTTCTGCTTCATGTTTCTGACAGGGCCACAGCTTGTGCCAGTGAGATGAGCCTACTGATCACATATTTGGATGAGGTGACAGTGACACATTGCAAAAGAAGTCTCCACATACTTAAACTCTCAAGTTCTGTATGTCTCTTATCAGTGACTGGTGACCAGCAGTTTGCACTGATATGCTGGCCACACACTGAGTAGATTGTTCCAGGGGGTCCTCACTCTAGCCAGAATTGGGCCTCACTTTTCTCAACTGCAAAGTGGAAACAATAACTGTATTTAATTCATAGGGATGCTGTGGGAATTGAGATAGTGCAGGAAAAGTGCTTCGTCTATGGTAAAGGCTTAATAATACCTACTAAGTACAGAGAAGACAAAAATAAGGCTCTTATAATTGGAAAATAGATTAATTAATGAATAACTGACACTGCAAGACAGATTACAGGTAAGCGCTAAAGGGCTCCCTGGCATGAGTGTGTTCACACGTGTGTGTGCGTGTAAATGACTTCAATTTGAGAGGATGGGGTTGCCTTTTGATCCTCTCTGTCCTGGCCATTGTTCTCCTGTTTGAGCTACCTGACTCAGCATCGGCTTACTGCCTTCTCCCCCTGTCCTCTGTGTGGTGAGTGTTGGGCCTGTCTCCCACCACTGGGGAGGGAACAGCTTTCATTTCTTTTGTGCCCGGAGTTCACTGGTCCCCCAGCTGTCAGAGGACCTGCCTGGTGTTCCTGAGTGTGTGCAGGGCGCTGGTGGCTAGTACCCTTCACCCGAAGGGGGGAACCTGACATGCTCACACTGTCACAGGGTCACATGGCCTGCCGCCTCTCCAGCAGGCAGGCAGGGGCACCAGGGGTAAGGAGAGTGATCAATATATTCAGTCTATCACGTTCTTCTCTTTGAGGCTCCATCCAGGTTAAGGAATGTATCAAGGATATTATCTACATTCTTTAGAAACAAAAAAGACCTGAAAATACGGAACGAGGTTGGGAAGTAACCACTCAAAGAATCTGCTGAAAGGTCTCTCCCATCTGTGCCAGGGACAAGCTCTTACTCCCGGGCCACCTCCACCCCTTTCCACTTGCTGCATCTGGTGCCCTGGCCAGCCCAGGGGAGGTGCCACGCGGGCTCCTTCTTCAGCAGGCATAAGCTGCAATGTTGTAGCTGTCCCTTGGGTTGTCATTTCAGAACACTTTTCTCTTTTCTCTTTCTGACACAACAGCTCTCATCTGCTTGACTCCCCTCCCCCTTCCAGAGGCACAAGAGAGGTGGGGGCAGGACTACCTCCCAAGAGCCATTTTAGCTGGACCCCCAGCAACTTGGATGGTTCAGGCTAAGCAGTTTAAACCAGTGTTTCTTAAGCTGGAGCCAGCAAATATGTGCTCAATATCTAAGTTTTCTGCCAGAATTTTAATAAATTTTGCTCTATCATTTTAGTCTGAAAAAACAAACAAGCATATTCCAAGTCACCTTATAAATAACAGTCATCTGAATTCTCCCCTGGACTTCAGTACCTGTACTAGGGTTATTGTCTAATAAACAAAGAGCCAGGGTAGATGCAGTATCTAAATGATGGCTTTGAGCTAGGTGAGGACTATATGACCTCACAATGTGCTCTGTAAGAGACTTCCCTGTTGCATGAAAAATAATATCAAACATTCTAATAACATTACTATGTACCAGGTATAGTTCAAGTGCATTATTAGTAACTCAGGTATGAATCCTTCCAACAGCCTTGTAAGGGAGGTACTTGTGTTATCATCATCCCCCTTTAGGAGGGTGTCCTGCAGTCAGACAGGGCCGGTACTTAACATTTCAACCCCGGGAATCTGCTTTTACCCAGTATGTAGCCGTCTAAGTAGACAAAAATGGTTCACTTTCTCACCTGCCACAATTAATAGAAAATAATTATGCTTCAGTGAAAAACTGTGCGTGATAGAGAAAACCCCTCTGGATGATGTGATTTTGATTTTATGGAAGCTATTTTACAGCCCCTTTCGTGATAGATAAGAGGTAGAAAATAATGATTGTTTATATGCAAATACTGTTTCTAGTATCGACTCCTCTTTCACCCTGTTTGGTTCCATGCATGTGTTCATTTCAATATTCCTTATCTATATGCGCCTCTATTATCTGGATTCTCTTTTGAACTTGTTATAATGTCATCTAGTTCCCTCCTTGATTAGTAACATGTCTTCATTTGTATATTTCTATGAGAGCCGTGATTTTACCTATTTTGAAAATAATATTTTAACAAAGGTGTTAGTCTGCTCTTAGCTTCTCCGTGACCAGCCCTCCTCATGCAGCCCAGGCTTCCACCCCGTTAACCTGCTCTGGTTGCATTTTTCCATAGCACTGTTTTTCCAACAGACTAGATCAGTCAGCAGCCCCACGTTTGATGCTTATGGGCTGTACTCTCCCACTGGAATGTAAGCTCCGTGAGGACAGAGGTCTTCATCTCTTTTGTTCATTGACATGTCCCAAATACTCAGATGATGTCTTGGCATAAAATGGAGACTAAAAAAAACCTGGAAGAGTAGGGAGAGAACTGAGTCTTTCTTTATAGGGCATGTAGTATAAACACATCTTACTCAAAATAACCCACATCGGCTCAGTTATTGCCATCACTTTTTTTAAGTGTTGGATGCCTTTCAACAAAACGTCATCTGTCATATGTAAAAACTGTTAGTTTGAACAGGGAGGGGGAAATCTATTTTATTTATAAACTTCATCTTATCATTATGTAAGAATTATAAATCTTGAGCTTAAACTCAGTTGTGGTGTTTATAGTGAAGGGAGAATATAATAAAATTGCTAATGAAAATAATTTGTCAACACAGGGAGCCCATTAATTTCTTCTTTAAAAGGAGGGATGCATATTATTCAGATTTGACAAACTGTTTTAAGTGATCAGCTACACTCCATGGTGGCATGTTGTAGGCTGTAAATTACAAAGGAAAGGAAGCGGTTGGGGCGCAGGGCAGGTAGCTCTGTTTCCTGGAGAGGAGAGGCCTGGAGGTGGGCCTGGCCAGCTGCCGTGACGGGGCTGCTTAGCTCCTGGAGACACAATGAGAGGCCGTCCACTGCAGCGGCAAGGGGGAGGCGAGGTCAGCGGGGTGCAGAGTGTCTGACACTGAGGCATCTCTGCCTGGAAGAGCAGCGCACTGATGTTCTAAATATAAAAGTGCAGAGTTGGATTTTGCAGAAAGAATGGCACTACAATGCCTAATAAAATTTCGTATGTTTAAAATGGGGTCTGGACAAGGAAAGAGGAACAAGAAGTGTTTTCTGATCAGCTGAAATTTTGATTTACAAATATTTAAAAAATATGTATAGCATTTATTTCATGTGTTCTGTGTATTTTAAGTGGAAAGTCTGGGAAGTCAGCTAAATGACGTTGGGCTGAATGAAACAGTT